CTAAAGTAATCATTTAAACAGCAATTTTACAAGGGCTCCCTTCCTGTCTCTTCATCACTTCAGGCTCTAAATATCATCCACCTCTTCCAGACACCATTAAACTTACCCTGAAAAGACCCCCTTGAAGGCAATAATATACTCCCACTCCATCTTTATATATCCTAGGGCCGTAGCTGCTGTGCTGCTTTCTCTGAGGCAGAATGGGAAGCACTCGGATGAGCCCCATCTCTCCTATATCCTCCTCCTCACCTCTTGCATCTCCTACCCAGGCAGTGGGGCTTCCAGCTTGGGGAGCCTGTGCTGGGGCTTTCCAACCAAATGCCGCCTCTCAGCAGCATGGCCATCTGTTTCCCAGAGGGAAAGGAGGTGGAAAGCTTAGGGCCGAGAGCTGCTGGAGTGACAGACACAACATCAACTGCAAGGAGTGTTACAGCAACATGCTAGGAAATCAATGCACCGTGTGGTGGTGCCATGGTGGGAGGAGAAGCAGGAGTCCCTGGAGCTAGGAGACAAGCACCAAGCGAGGCAGAGCGGGTGGTGAGACCTCTAGCCTTGGTGCTCACCAGGCGAGGAGATGTGGATGCCAGAGCCTCCCTCCTCATTCCTTCTCTTGCTTTTCCACCTCAATAGGAACAAAGCCAAATGTTTTCAAGAAGGGAGAAAAAAATACATCTCTCTTACCCAGATGGAGTTTATCTCAGAGTCTCAAAGGCAGGCTTTCAGGAGTGCTGCTTTCAGGAGTGCTGCTTTACCCTAGTGCTGCATGTTAGAGGGCGTCGTGGTTTCAACCCAGCTGGCAATTAAGTACCACTCGCTCGCATTCCCCCTGCAGTAGGATGGGGAAGAGAATCAGGATAAAAGTAAAACCTGTGGGTTGAGATAAGAACAGTTTAATAATTAAAATAAGGTATAATATAATACTAATAATAATAATGAAAAGGGAAATTACAAAAAGAGAGTGAGGCAAAGGAAAAAAACCAGCAAACACAAGTGATGCACAATATAATTGTTGACTGATGCCCATTTGATTTGATGGTTCCTG